GGCAGGGTAACAGCTCAGAAATCTTCCTTCTCCCGTCACTCAGGTTGGGAAGATTTGGGCACACTGAGGTGAAGTAATTAATGCATTTGCATTGCCCTCCTGATGAAAAGCAGTTGCTTTCATACTTGACTATCTGATGGTCTTCAGTCTTTCTCTCTAGATACTTCAGGGTGGGCACTTGAATATGAACTTGTTCTGATAGTTTTGGTTTGTTTGTGGGGTCTATTATGCAGGACAAAGAAAAAATTGTAGTGTATATGGTAGAACAAATTCTTGTTGGAAGTAACTCAGCTGCAGACCTTACTTCTTCATCTTTTTAGTGTCCTTTTTAGGAAGGTGGTGAATTTATGAGATAAGAGCAAGGTTTTATAAAGTGCCTAAAGCACAGACACTGACTGGGGCCTGCTAAATAGCCTGTGATACATTTTTAGGCCAGTCTCTTGAAAACATACCTGCATAGGTTTTCTGGTTCACACAGCTTTTATGACAGCGTTCTGACCCACTGCAGTCAGTGCTTGTCTATAGGAACAACTTCGTCACTGTGTTTTTGCCTGAAGGGAAAGGGAGATACTTTTGAGACTTCCTATTGTGAGTGTTAAAAGTGAGGCCTGGTTAACATTTGTACTGTATGTGTAGCAGGATTAAATAACTATCTCCTACAAAACTGTAATAATTAATTTGTCAGGGTAAAGTAATATCATCTGTTCAAAACGTGTATGTGTTTGAGAAATTTATATACTGTATTTTACAACACGGTCCTTCTTACTGTAGGAAACAAAGAGTGTTAGCTTGGACAGATGATCACAGTGTGTTCCTCTTAAAGGTTTCTGAGCCAAAATTACTGATGTCAGTAAAAATATCCTGGTATGGTCTTTGGGTTTAATGCTGTTTAGAGGATGATGGACTGTGGTGGTTGGATAGATGATGTTTTAAAGGATTGACTGTGACAGTCAGATGTATAATGCTTAAGTATTGTTCAATTTCTAATTGGAAAGTAAAATAGAAAACCAGCTTGTTTACAGATGCTGAGTTGATGGTCTCTTATTGCTTTATGGTATACAATATGTTTTTTTAAGAAATCCTATTGCCTGAGTGCTTTTTGTGAAGCTTTAGTTTATGAATGCAACTGTGTGTTGGTATACGGTATGAATTTTCTGCAAATTTATCCTTACTGCAATTGGAAATAGTTACTTGAACAAGGCACCCTTTCTAGTGTAGACCTAGAAAATAAAACCCTTTTAACAGTTGTAATTTGCCTTGTTTCCTTAATGAAAGAAATGAAAAAGTCTTCTGTTTATTATCTCTGTTGAAGAAATAATAGCATGATACTGGATTAGTGTTATTTAGACCTATCTTCAGTGGCAGAGCAGACACCATATTCTTTAAATTTAGTGACACAATTATTAATGTGATGTAAAAATTCATTTTCCTTTTGAACTGAGGTTGAATAGCAAGAAAAATACTGCTGGTTTATCTGGTATAAAATACTGCAGTGCTGAGTAGCTGGCCATACTAGGTCCTGTAAGAGTTAAAATAGAATTAACCTTCCTGGTGACTCATCATTGTTTTTTAGAAGATAATGAATTGATTGCTATATTTTAGAAAAGAAACTAGTGATAAGAAAAGAGAAAAAGAGATACAGGCAGGAGATGCATTTCTGTTTGAATTATATTCTGACCCAGTCAAAAAACAAACCAACCAAGCAAAAATACCACCAAAAAAAACTGCCCAAAAACCCAAACCAAATACAAACCCACTTAGTTTATCCTGAGACAGTTGTGAGCCAGAAATAATGCTACCAGTGTGAATATAGTTTTGCTTTCACTGTGCAAGCTAAAACAGTATGAAACTGTCTTGTTTATTATGCTGACAAGAACTGTGTATTCTTAGCTTTCAGTATCTCAGAGATCAGACCTAGTAATACAGTTATGAATGTAAATGGCTTCAAAATATATACTGGAGCCTGTAAGTTTCTTGAAAACTTGTGTGAAGTGATAGGATTTGCAAGCTTTCTATTATTAGGTTTGGTATGGGAACATCAGTCTTTGTAGTCCTGAACTGCCAACAACCTTTGTCCTTTATTTTACCTTCAGTTAAAAACATACACACACACAAAAAAAAGGGAAAAAAAAAATGGAAGCGGGTTAGTGCTTGGAATAGGGAAGTAAATGAATGTTGGCTAATGGCCATGTCTTTTCCTAGAGCAAGAAAAAATATCTTGGAAAGATAAATGAAATTGTGAACCTGGACTTGAATGATATGTGATGTTTTGTAAATTATTTATTAGAGCAAGCCTTTCTGAAATGGCTGAAGCACTATTATATCAATGGGAGGAAGAATGGTGTGGTTGCCAAGAGGAGATTTTTGCTGGATTCCACTAAAGAATAATCCTTCTTTTAAAATTATCTGTATTAAAATTCAACTTTTAAGAAATGTCCACAGGATGCTGCAAGTGAACAGTTGTGTTTGGATAGTTCTGGACTGTTTTTCTGCTGATGATTCCTGGTGTAGTTGATGTAAATTTTTTGGTAATATTTTGCTCCAAATACAAATCTGTTTAAAAATATAATGATGGAACAGATCTGTTGAATTAAGATATCTTACTGGCAAGATTAGTAACTAACTAATTTCCTCTTAATTGTATATGTGCAGTTTACTAAGTTTATTCAGTGCCACCCTGCCAAAGCTGACAAAGAATATAATTATTTTTTTTTTAACTTAAATATGACTGAAGTGGAAATCGCCAGTTTTATAACTTGAACAATTATTTTTGTCCAGGTAGCAATTTAATATTTCAGCTATCCATATAATCTGTAGTGGAGGTCTTAACAATACTAAGGACTGGAGATGAAGTTTGTTCCTATTAGTTATAAAAAGCTAGCATTGCAGTTCCCTATTGTAGTATGTGAAAGAGAACAGACATCTCCATACTTATGAAAAGTCTTTGGCTCTGGACATCTTTTATGTGTATTATTTGGGGTATACAAGTATGTCAATATTCCAATAATTGGATTGTGAAGAGATGAACAGTGAGCAGACCTGCTGAGGATTAAGCTTTCAGAGAAAATACTATGCCTCAGGGTATGTTTATAGGCTTTCAGATGATCCTACAGCTCAGTAATATAAATCTAGTTTGGTTATTTCTGTATTATGTTGCATTGAGATATAGAGCATATCTACATGGAACTGATGCCTTCTCAAGAATACCCTTAAAAAGAAGCACTCTCCACTTCCTAGAACTGAAATGAAGTACAGATCTGTAGGTCACATGAGGATATTCTGTCAGCTATTGAGGTGTTGTGGCATAGCATGGAAATGTAAAAACTCAAGGTGAAAACAACAAATAATTATTTTTGTAGCTAAGCAGTGCTGTTTGTTTTATGTAAACCTGGAACCTATGAATTTGCAAAAGAAACTATTTTAAATTTTGAGTTCTTGTGACACAAGCTGCTAGAAGCCAGTGTGGAAAGGCACTGCATTATTTGGGTATCCCACTGGAAGAAATGGTGGCATGTCATTTTTCTACATGTCTGTTTACATACGCTTCTATATGGGCATTAATATTTTGAATAAAGTATGTACGTAGTTTCACTAAAGCTCTAAAATTTAGTGCAGAAACTGTTTAAGGGTATTTAGTATCATGTGGCAGATTAGGAATATTGGGAAGTACTTTTGTATCAGTTCTTAAGTCTTTCTCTGAAAAATTCTGTGTAGGGCCTCCATACATTGAAAGATTTGCATGGCTTTTTAAAATTCTGATTATGTCTCATAGCTGATGGGATTGAGCATACCAGAATGAGTAAATGTTGATCTGTGGAATCCAGTATTTTTACCCTAAAACGGTTCTTTCAGAGGGATGTATGAGTTATATCACATGGAAAAGTAATAAAGTATATATTGAATTTGAGAGTTTTTGTAAAAATTCCTGGTTTTCTTGTGGAAAGGAATTTTGTTCTTCTATAATAAGGGCCAATTTGCATCTTAATTTTTCAGAACTGTTATATCTGAAGAACGAGTGATTGTGTTTTTGAGTTAAAATTGTGTGTTCAAGAATAGTGTCCTAAGTTCTGATTTTTCCTCATTTTTGTTAACACTAGTCTTGTATGGGAGACGTGTACATGGATTAGTACACAAGGTTGCTTATTATGGGCCAACTTAATGTTGATGAAATGTGTTAAGATACTAGACTTTTTTATTCCATTTATAAACTATTTATAGTTTATGAAATGACTGCTTGCCTTGGTAATTAATATATGGTATAAGAAAATGTCAGGTAGAAGACAAGACCACTGAGACTTTTTTTTCCTGGCTAACTCTGTCTATTTATTTTTAAACCTAGCCACGAGCTGACCCCATCCCGATATGTAGCTTTTGTTTGGGAACGAAAGAATCAAATCGTGAAAAAAAACCAGAAGAGCTGTTGTCTTGTGCAGACTGTGGCAGCAGTGGTAAGTTGGCTGAATTTATAAACTCCAGAAGTGTGTACGTTTAAGCCTGTTCTTAAGTTATTAAAAATATTTTAAACTTCTGAGTGTCATCTTCTCTTTGGATGTAGATTGAGAACTGAAAGAAAATGGGGAATGGAAGAGACTTTAACTAAAATTTCATGATCTGGATAACTATAAATGAGAGGGGGGAATTCATCTTTGTGCCAAAAGTGTAAAGCTACTGAGTAAATTAATAGGGAAACCACACACGTAAAGTACAGGAATTCTGTTATTGTTTGGTATCTGTTTGATCTGAAAACTCAGTTTTGCATTGTGACATCAAATGATGGTCAAGAATTTTGCTTGCATAGATCTGCAGCATTTCAGAAGCTGAGGAGTGATCATAATGCTAAAAACTGTAGCAGTCTTTGCTGTTGCATATCTTGTGTGTCAACTTCATTTTTTATAACATTACTTTGTTATGTGGAAATTTGAATAATATTCTAAGTACACTAAAGCTGTTAGGCACCTGTTAGCTGTCAGGCTAGAGATAACAACTCTACTTACCATATGTACCTTGCTCTTGTGTGTTGCAGCAGTTCTTGCTGACTCATATGGCTGTTCTGAATGCAGGTGCTTCCCTTGAAGTGAGCAACTAGGTTCATTTTGAAAATTAAATACGGTGTTGTACCGTCGCTTTGCACAGCACTTGTACATGGATGATACCAAATGTGCTCTTGGCCTAGGTTATTCCTGATACACAGAGGGATTTGGCTAAGAAACTGGTGAATCTCTTTAGCAACTCAGTGCTCTGATCAGTTTTGCTACCAAAGAAAACAAAAAAACAAACAAAAAAAACGACAAGGCAACAAACTCCTGTGGAAAATAGCTTCATGCTGGAAGAGGAGTTACGTGGTCAGTGCAGTCCGGCAGTTGGGTGCGCTGCTTTGCTTCGGCTGTGTGAGCAGAATAACTTTTGCTCATAAGTTTACAGCTGTGCTGGGAAGTACTTTTGGTAGAGCTTTGTAATGTAGACCACCACAGCTCAAAGGCCAAACAGCAGTGCTGCTTAAGTCACAGGCTGCAGTGTCCAACTTCCTGGTGCTACACCTTTGTGCTGGCACCTGGTCATATAGAAACTGGACTGAGGAACAGATGTAGGTGGAAGATGAGCTTGACCAGTTCCCCGGTCCAGTTCACTGCAGAGCCATACCAAATCCTGTGACTGAATGAAGAAGAGGGAAGTGCCTGGGAGGGAAACTGACCCCTACGGACACTGTAGGGTCTGTGTGTGCCAGCGCTGCTTTTGAGAAGGCTGGAAATGGGAAGGGGTTTTTTTTTGGTGTCTTTGACTTCAGAGTCCATGTGTGTCATTGTTTAACACTGTGCTGTGGATTGTCTTGGGTACATTGAGAGATACATTAGTACTTGAGTAAATATAAAACTGTGGATCAAAAATGTGTTTTCAGTTAATCAGGATATGCTTTTGTGTGATTTGGAATGTCACCCTGGACAAATTCTTCGTATTTTAGCTAGTATATTCTTTAGTATATTTAAGTAAATGATTAAAGTGGGGAATAAGGAAGTGGCTTGTCCACTCCAGTATGAAAAACCAAACCCCATAGACTTTATAAACTGGCTTCCTTTAGTGGTTTACAGGTTTCCTGTATTTTCAAATCTCTATTCTAGTAGTTGGAAATTTAATAGATGTGTGTGGTTAGAGTCTGATGCACAGAGTTTACAATAATCAGGTGAGCTTAGATCTCAGTACTCTTCTGTTGTGTAATAATCCCCTGGTAGGTCTAAAATGCTTTAGAACTGGAAGTCTTGACTTTCATGGATCAACTTCTATTTGAGTTAACACTGATACATTCTCTCTGCCTCATTAAGACTAAATTATCTTTAATTAGTTCCTCAGATGTAGTAGATATAAAGAATGAAATGTTGAGACTGCCAATCAGATTGCTGGATGGTTAAACTTTAGCTACTGCTGCCTAACTAAAATAAAAATGAATCTCAGTGCGATTTATAAATAACACAACTTGACTCAAGTGGTGGTTTACTGTAATTGGATTTGTAATTTTGCACACTGCAGTATATCTCAAAGCCGCTCTTGCTGTCTAACAAACATTAAAGAAATTGCATATTGCGTACAGCAAGCAAATTGTTCAGTTGATCACAGGTTAAATTGCAGTGCCCACTACTGGCATGTCTGCTTTCCTTTGGTTTTGTGTCAGTTGCTTGTGCCTCTTGAGGTAATGCTTCCGTGTTCTGAAAGCAGAAACTCATTGGGTCTCTACACATCTCATTGATATTACCTTGTTTTGTGGTATTGGGGAGCATAATGTATTTGTGCAGTGGAAATGAAATGCACTGTTATGCCACTTTGCACAGGGTGTTTTCTAAAGGAGTAAGCTGAGGAATGTCAGATATGAGAAAACAAATCCTGTTACGAAAGCAAACATCACTCCCCTCACTCCTCAGCTTTCTGCTCTATCTTTTCATTTTGAAAATTTGGTAGACTTGAGAACTGGAATCCAACTCTGCTTACCTTGGCCCAGTTGAAAACTGCGGAGGCAATTAAAGAGCTGCTGCTGACAGATCTTAAAATGGAGCTGAAGTTTTATTTTAGAAAGGGAAGGGGGGGG